TTTGTTCCTTCATTTCCTTCATCATTTTTTTCTTCAATTTTCGTTCATGTTCTTCCTCTGTCCAGACTTGTTTGTTATCTCTCCTCTTTGATTCTTCCACCTTGTGTCATTCTCTTCCCCATTCTTCATCAATTTCATTCCTCATCTTTCCAATTCTAGCATTAATTTCGTCCATATTCAGTCACATATTTTCCAGATTCAAGATGTCTTCTCAAGTTTAAAGTCTGATTGGTTTGAAGATGAAGAACATGAGAGGCTAATTTTCCATTGAGCTTTAAGGAAGATGAACCTGTGATTTGAGTATTTCAGAATTGCCTTCCTTATTTGTAATTTCAATTCTGCAATTTCTTCTATTTTCTTTCAAGGATTCGAAATTATGGTTCAGGTTGAATTGTGATTTTGATTCCAATTACATGTTAGATTGAAGTTGTGGATGTTGGATTGATATTTGATTTTGTATTTCAGTTCTGGAATGTATGAATTCAATTGAGTGTTCTTGAATGTGTTCATATGTTCTTGTTCAAATTTCTCCATATTTCAAGCTAGATCCATATGTGTTTATATGAATTTGGTTTGAGAAGTTTTCTGCCATTTAATTTAGTCTGAATTGAATGGCTATGAACAAGGCTGATTTACATTGTTAATTTCACTCCACTTGGCTTAAATTCATAATAATCATTGGATGCAATGTTTCACAACACTTTAAAGGTTTTAGAGTGTTCTTTATTAAGCTAATTGTTATTACATGTGTAGTTGCAATTCTAGAATTCAAGGATTAAGGGATTCTAACTTGAGCTCATCATCTCATTCATTCACATCAACACATTTAAATCAGGAAATTACAAACATTTAGTTCTTGTATTCTAGACATAGCTGAAACATATCTTCATTCCCTTAATTTGTTGGCAATTGAACCATAATTTGTGTGCATTGCTCTCTTGGGAGATGACCTAGAATGCTCCCGACTATATTCTAGTTTTCATTGATGGCCTAAAGTGACTTAAGGTTTCATCAAGGAGCATAGAAGCAACATAAAAAAAAAAAACTCAACGACAAAGGAAAGAAACAGTAGAGAACTAAGGTGAGCGAGGGAGAAACCGAGAGAGGGAAGACTGATTTGAGACGGAGATGAAAAAAACAGAGCACAAAGGAGAGAAGAGAAGAGACCGAGAAGGAGAGAGCTAGACAATGATGAGTGAGATCCAAAGAGACCGAGGAAGGAGAGAAAAGGGAGTTGAGGATCTGAAAAAGGAGAGAAGAGATTGAGAAGGAAAGAAGAGACCAAGAAGGAGAGAGTTGGACAGTGATGAGCGAGATCCGAAGAGACCGAGGAAGGAGATAAGAGGGAGTTGAGGATTGAAAAAGGAGAGAGAGATAGAGGTGATGAAAGCGTTGTTTTGAGAGGAAGAAGAATGCATGTATGGAATTACAGGCTGCTGCAACTCGAGGACGTGGTCATTAGTAGTTAAATCAGGTAATATTTAAATCATGTCATTTCCCTTAATCTAGATTTTTTGATGAACATATACATACATACATACATACATATTGATAGATATTAAGGGTGTGGATTGATTTAGATATATATTTAGGCATTAAAGATTCATGGATCAAATGTTTTTATGTAGAATTTAAGACATACCCAAAAGGTGTTTGACAAAAAAAACCTGTGAGAATATTATTGATAATTTGTGAGATTGGTTGTGGTTTGAAGCTATATCTATCATGGTTATGATCTTGCTAAAAGTTTATGTCAAATCTAAATTTTTTTTAAGAATATATCCTCAAGTCAAAAGAATACTGAATTATCAAAATAGTTTATTTCTCTATTCTTTCCATCGCTTTTATTGCATAAATTCTTTAGCCAATCATAATATTATACACCGATTGCAAATGCAAATATTTTGATTATCTATTTGTCATGTGAGATTTTAAGAATCTCTGTAGGCATTTAGAATGATTTCATACTGTGTAAATTAATAAGATTTCATAAGTGTGAAGATCAATTTTGTTTACATTAAATATGGGTTCCAATGGCCTGTTATTCAAATTAACTCTTTTTTTTTTGTATAATTTATTTAAGTCTTATGTGAGATTTTAAAAATTTTTATAGTGGCTTGAATTAATCACATTATCATGTGAGATAATAAATCCTCACAAATATCGTGATTTTCATTTTATATAGAAATAAATAAAATAATAAACGTCTTAAAAAAATATTAATTAATTAAATTAATGTATTTAAATAATAACCATTAAATCTTTTGGTCATGCAAGATTTTTGAAGCTCTGTAAACCTTTAGGATAATCGTACTACCGTGTAAGTTAATAAGACTTTGTTGGTATAACGATTAAGATTTCTATATTTAAAAATATATATTGTATAATTACGCATTAAAATATATTTAAAGTGAATATTATTTAATCATTTTATTATGCAAAACTTTGAATCTTTGCAGATATCTAGGATAATCTCATATCATGTAAATCAATAAGATTTTGCAAATATGAGAGTAAAATTTATATGTTAATATAGGTTCCAAAGGCCTATCATTAAAATTAACTCTCTTTTTATAATTCAAATTAATAATTTATTTAAGTCTCATGTGAGATTTCAAGAATCTTCATAAAGACTTAAATTAGTCACATCATCGTGTAGGATAATAAGTCCTTACAGATATAGTGATTCTCAATTTCTATAATAAATAAATAATTTTTATAAATAATCATATAATACAAAATTTAGAAAAATTAATTAATCAAATTAATGTATTTAAGTTATAATCACATTTACCGATTATATTTTTTAGTCATGTGAGATTTTTGAATCTCTGTAGACTTCTAAGATAATCGTATTATCATATGAGTCAATAAGACTTTGCAGATATAATGATTAAGTTTTTTAAAATATATATAAATTATATTAAATCAATCAAATTAAAAATGTACTTAAGTGTATATTATTTAATCTTTTATCGTGTGAGATTTTGAAATTTTCACAGATATTTAGGATAATCATATTACCGTATAAGCCAATAAGCCTTTGTAGGTATGATGATTAAAATTCTTTAAAAGCATATATATACATGCTTAAACAAATTATTACTAACACTTAAAAATATAAATAAATTAAGTTGTTAAACTTTTTTATCATGTGAGATTTTGGAATCTCCGCAGATATTTAGAATTATTAAATTATCGTATGAGCCAATAAGGCTTTGTAGGTATAATAATTAAATTCTCAATCAAAAAATATAAAAAATAATAATTTTAAACCCTTTTATTTCCTTATTCCAAAAATTTAAAAATTGAGAAAATAATTGAAATTAAATTACTTTTGCAATTTAAAACATACATATCCAAATTTCAGAAATTATTTTATTTGCAAAATGATAAATTATTTTTAATTAATTTCTCTTCAAAAATATTTTCACTAATAATTTTTAAGCCCGAATTACGTGGACTTTGATTCCCATCATAGGGTACATAGGTCTCAGAGTCTGACTTTGAATCAAGCCCTCCCTCATAAATAAATAAATATTTCTCACTTTATTATTATTATTTTTTAAAACACGTGAATAAAAAGGGATAATTAAAATAACTTTAAAACCATATTAATTCAGCACCACAAACTTCAGGTAACTCGTTTTCATAAACGGGATATTGTGGGGTGCCTAACACCTTCCCCACACTCAATGGACTCCCGAATCTATTTTTTATTTTTGCAGATCATCCTTATCCTCCTTTAATTGGTTTCCCAAGATTTCTCTCAAAATTTTGATGGCGACTCCCTTTTCAATCAATTCCCGCCCCGAAGGCTGGAACTTCTACTCGCACGCCGTCCACATCACATTTTTTGAATGCGATAGATAAGAGTGCAATTCTATAAAAAATTATTGTTTTATATTTTAATTTACTTGTGATAATAAATTCTAAATAAAATATTTTATTGTTTTTATTCTTATTAAGAACAAGATAATAAAATGTAGAACAAAATACATTTTGGAAAAATTACATTCAGGTCCCATAGAAAAAAGTTTATTACCAAGAGGTCTTGTGAATTTCACAAAATAAATTCTGTGCATTGACAACTTGACTAAGGGCATTGATAACTAGGCAATGGTCATTTATAACATGATATTATAAATTATCATTTTCCTTTATAAATTATAAATGACTACTGCCTAGTTATCAATACCCTTAATCAAGTTGTTAATGTATAGGATTTGAGACTTGAGAGTATTTTATAAAATTTATAAAAATTTTCAGTAATAAAATTTTTTATGTGGTACCTAAATGCAATTTTCCCATAAATTTTTATACTTTTAGAATGTACAGTAGTAACAAATTATAAAAATAATTTGTTTTTAAATAACTTCTAATACAAGGGGACATAAGGTAAATTTATATTTTCCAACTTAAAACACTATTATTTGTTGTAGAATTATCAAAGACAATCTTTAGTCAATGTTTAATTTAAATTAATTTTTATTCATGCTTGGTTGGAGGGGGATGAATGGGAGTGGAAGTGAGAATAAGGGAGATTTTATATCAATATCTTGTAAAAGTGTTTTATATCAAACACTACAGACAATATTTTTAACATAATATTAAAAAAAAATTATATCCGTGCTAATGGATATAAAGAAATATTTTTAACATGATATTATTATTATTATTATTATTATTATTATTTGGGTTTAATTCTCTCATCCATTAAAACCAATGTTTTTAAAACCGGACCGGATATTGAACCGGAGAGGACAGCGGTCCGTGGTTCGCATGGTCCAACCGGGTTGGACCAATGGTCGAACCGGTAACGTCATAATTAAATTTAAAAATTATATATCTATAAAATAATATAAACAAAATATCAAATAATTAAAATATCAAGATAAATAGTCAACTTCAACTTCAACATATGACAAAATAACAACTAATAAGGCAATACAACACAACACACCAACAATTTAAACAAGCATAACATCATATTTATCTATTCATGACTTATCAAAGATTGGTGGATCCTGATTAAGCCAAGCATGAGTTTCCCGTAAATCATCATAACTATAAGTTTCAACATCTTCTTGGGCAAAAGATCTCAAATCAAGTCCTTCTATGATTGAACATCCACCCCCAGACGAAACCTCATTGCCTCCTCCTTCATTATTACCTTTATTGAATAATGTAACAAATCAAATATTAAAATTAATAAGTAACACATATTATAAGAAAAAAATAACATGACTAAATACTAAAAAATTTCAAAGATCAAACCTTCATCTTGATTGATAGAAACTTGTGGAATTATTGTATCATCATAAAGCATAGCTTCTTCTATCTCATCATAATTAAGGGTGGGAGAATCTTCATCTTCCATGATCCAATACTCAATGTCACCAATACTTTCATAATCAATAGGATCAAAAGATCTTTTCTTGTTATAAACTCTAAAACACATAACCAAAGTATTAAAATTTTAGAAGTTAACTTACAATTAAACTCATGTTAAACAAAGTTTAGCTATAATTAAATGATATACCTATTTCTCAAACGAAGGTTGTAATGAATAAACACAAGATCATTTAACCTTTTATGCTCCAACCTATTCCTTTTTTTAGAGTGTATTCTTTCAAAAACACTCCAATTTCTTTCACAACCAGATGAAGATGAAGTTTGGCTTAAGAGTCTCATTGCCAATTTTTTAACATTTGGTGCACTATCACCAAACATTTTCCACCATTCATCTGCAAAATTTAGCATCAAAAATAAACACAAGTAAGAACTATAAAAACTAAAAACTATTAAAGTTAAATGAAAAAAGCATTAAAATTTACTTGGCCGCAATGAGTTTATAGATGAAATGGCCAAGGAACGACCGAAGCTATCAACTCTATCTTGATACAACAAACTTTCTTGTACAAACTTGGTTTTGTTAGAAGTGATTGTCTTATCCAAAACATCAAGAAATCCAGCCATAACCTCTGGCTTTTTAGAAAAGCTCTGCTTATCATAAAAGAACACAGGATTTAGGAAATAAGCTGCTGCATGAAGCTTCTGACGAAGTTGAGAATCCCACCTTTTCTTGATAATCCTTGTGTAAGGCTTATACAAGGGCTTTTTATTCATTAATATATTCTTGATAGTTTTTCTTGCCCTGTACATGCCATCATATACATACCCAAGTGAAGGCCTCTCATCAGCATCAACAATCCTCAACAATCGAATAAGTGGTGAAACAATTTGGACTACAATTTTACAATCATTCCAAAATTGATTGTCTAGCACTATTAAAGTCGCATCCTTTGCCTTTTCTCCTTTTGAGTATCTAGAATCTAAAAATACTTTGCTAGTTACCAAGGCTTGCAAATCATGTTTATGCTCATGAATACTTTTCAATGCAATAAAAGTGGTAGCAAATCGTGTCACCCCAGGGCGAATAATTTCAGTCCAACCTTCTCTTTTTCTCAGCCAAGCAAGCAAAAAGGCATGATTATAAACAAACTTTGTCACCATAGATGCACGTGTTGCCAAGCCAATCACAATATCCGTTTTACCGATATCTCCTAAAATCAAGTTCAAACAATGTGCAGCACAAGGAGACCAAAAAATAGAAGGAAATTTATCACATAATAACCGCCCAGCAGCTTTATAATTAGCTGCATTATCAGTTACCAAGTGCACAACATTTGTAACTCCAACAAAGTCAACCATTTCAGTGAATAAGTTGCACAAATTTTGGGCATCCTTGACTATGTCTGATGCATCAACAGATTTAATAAAAACAATTCCCCTAGGAGAATAGACAAGAAAGTTAATCAATTGCCTATTTGCTTGATCTTGCCAACCATCGGCCATGATTGTACAACCAGTATCATCCCAAAAGTTTCTAAAACTATCAACCATTAATTGAACTTCCTTTTTAGTATCAAGCAGTAATTTAGTTCTCATGGCATGATAACTTGGCCCTTTATAACCAGGGCCAATAGCTGTAAACGCATCAATCATAGGTTGAAAGAATGCTGAATTGACAACATTCAATGGGATACAACAATCATACATCCACTTAGCAAAAGCCATGTCTGCCCTACGTATAGGTTCTTTACCTGCAAGCGCACTTCGTATCCCTGGCTGTGCTCCTGGGGTTGTTCTTGGTGCAAAATATTTGTCAATAGGAGCCTTTCTTTTTCCAAGTTGCGTTTGACTTTGTGATTGAATTTCCTTGAGGGTTTGAGATTGAGGAGTAGAAATTTCTTCTGAATTTCCATCATGACTTTCTAATGGTGTGACATTAGGGCCATATGGATTGTCCTCTTCATAACTATCTTGCCTTTTGCCTTTATTCTCCCTAATCTCCTTTAAATTTTCTTCAAGTCGGTAGCGAACATCAGCAGGCACCTTTTTGCAACTTATTGCATCCCCTTTCTTTCCAGCAAGATGTTGTTTCATTCTATGAATCCCTCCACCAGCAAATTCTTTTGCACAGTACAAACATTTTAGGCGAATTTTGCCATCTGGGAGCTTGACCTCAGCACAATGCTCCCATGTAGGATCTGTCTTTGATCTAACAGATTGTGTTGATGCAGTAGTTGAAGCATTTTCAGATGTCATTTTCTACAAGGCAAAATTTAGATTTGTCATTAAAAGACCTAATCAATTCAGTAAAGTCACAGCTCTGGAAAAAATAAAAAATTCAGTGAAGTCACAGTGGGAAGCTTGAAATCGAAGCTCAAAGAAAATGTGTCTGTGGCTCTGTGCTGACTGCTGAGTATATTCCCGCTGCATTAGGGAATTGCATGCGGACAGATGTTAGCTTAATAAAACATGCTGTTTTAACAAATTAGCAACAAGAGATGCTATTTAAATAACAATGAAATTTCACCATAATCAATTGGAGAAGTAAGAAGCAAACAACAACATAACTCAATCCAGTTTCAATCCAAGTTACTCCCGGTTTTCCAATTGATAACAGCAAGGGTCAAGAATTATATAGAAACCAAGAGAAAATGAAATGGGGGGTCTTTAATTTTTTTTAAGAAGCCGAAGTAACCAAGAGAAAGATTATAAGCGAAGGATAATTCAATTCACTTAGACCACATGTAAATCGAAGTTGAAGAAGAAAACAGCTTTCATTACCCATGGCAAAACATCCCGTGAGAGCCCAAAAAATAGCGGATAAAATCAATTTCGATACAAAACGAAATCTTCCAACTCTTTCAATCTCTTCAGCTTCCATAATACTGGAAATTCCTGTTAAATCTCTTTCAATCCTTAAGAAGTCAATGCACACACAGACACACTCACAAAACCGCAAATAATCAAAAATGGAGAAGCAAAATAAACAGATAAAAATTAAAGAAAAGTACTCAGCAGTCAGCACAGAAACCTTAATCAAATCCCAAATCAGAAATTTACCAGATGCGCCGACCGTGAGTCCGTGACTTCGCAGTTCGCAGCTCTGAATTGAAACCGTGAAACCGAGAATAGAAACAAGAAGCCAAACCAGATGCGGCGATCTGAAAATCGGTACCGAACGGTGACTTTGTAGCTCAAAGAGACGAGAGATCTGAAACCGTGACAAACTTGCGAGCTGCAATCTAAGAGCTGAGCGTGCGTGCGGTGCCGGTATCCCTCTGTCTGCGACTCTGGTTTGTTCTGCATTCTTTCTAAAATATATGGGGCAAAAAAAATAGAACCGTCCGGCTTTTAAAAACCGGACCCGGTTCGCGGCCCAACTCCGGTTCGCGGCCCAACTGACGGTTTTGGCCGGCTCAACCCGGCTCAACCTATCACACGGTTTTTCCCTTCTGGCCGAGCCGGAATGTGGACCGGCCGACGGTCGGACCGGTCCGACCGTCCGGTCCGGTCCGGCTTTAAAATCATTGATTAAAACACTCTGATGCCGCTGTTTGCTCCAGTCACACTTCACACTGACCACGTTTTGCTGGTTATGCCTATTGCGTGCTAACGTGCTTGCTAAGGTAGGTACTTCCTCCTCCTCCTCCATATTTGTCCCCTTCCTTGCATTGCTAGGGTTGACATCAATAAGGTTTCGGATGAAATAGGAGAGACAATCGAGCTACTTCATTTCAGTCTTTTTTAGTTTTATGTGCGTTGTGCTTCATTTTCCTTCCTAAAAAGGTAAGTATAACAAAATGAGCTTAGCATTTCGTGTGTGCAGCGTGTTTTGCAGTTGGAAATGTAAAGGATGCTGGAGTTGACAGTGTGTTGTTGAGTGGTTTTCTGTTTTACTTTGTTTGGTTGCCGAGAAATCATAGGGAAGGTAGGAGAAAGTGGGATAAAAAAAAAAAAAATAGAAGAAAAGTTCTTACCCACCCATTTGCTTTGCACGAGGTGATGAGGTGATGCCGAAGAAATCATGTGGGGTAGTGTGGGGAACATCGGAGTGTCGGGTGGAAAACGAACTATTCCTTGGAAAGCGAGAATCAGATTTTCCCTACTTTTAAGTAGAACACTACTTTCCCGTTAAAAAAAAAAAGAAAAAAAAAAGAAAAGAAAAGAAAAGGAACACCAGTAGAGTACTTTTGTCATTATTTGGTGAAGGGCAAATGAGACGAAAATGTTTATCCTAATTTCTCTATCTCTTCCCAATTCATTCTTGATTTTTCTTTTGAATCTCTTGCTCTATATTAGTATTCCTCAGCTCAAAACCTTTGTAAATTTCAATTGCACGCGCTTAGAGATGTAGTTTTGTATATTGCATGTATATATGATGTGGTAATAATAATGTATGACACTAGAGTTGTTACCCCGCAGCAATGAGCTATTAGAACTCATGTGCTTCTTGTTATACAGGATACTTTTGGATGTCCAATGGCATCATCAGATGAAGAGGGTGAGATCATCCCAGTGTGTGTTGATAATTATTATTTTATTGATGATAAGTATCAGCCTGTTTCACTTTCTATTTTACCATTACACATGAGCATGGATGAGATTAGATGTGACTCGGGAACGACAATATACTTGCGTGGCACTGCTGATGGTGGCCTTAAAGAAATTTTTAAACAGATTATAGCTTGGAAATTTGAGCTTTCCTCTGTGCAGCCTGAGATTTCAGTACTTTCAAAAGACAAAGTTTGGATAACTCTCCAAAGGCCTAGAGAAAGCTTTGAAAGTATAATTAGGACATTCTTGGTCACATTATATTGGCTGCATTTTGTGAGAAGGAATCCAGAAGAATCCAGAATATCTGTTTGGAAAAACTTAAAAGAGGTCTTCAGGTATTTGTATTGCCATTTCCAGATGTCTAATGTCCCACCTGCCATCTTGATTCATTGATGATGTCTATTTTGCAGCTCATCTGATGTTAAACCTTCTGAGAATGACATTCGAAATCATGTGTCATTGATTAGAGAGGCTGCTGAAAGAGACAAAGATTTTGCAAAATCTGAGGTTCTTATTCTGTTTTTAATTAATTAGCATTGCTGGCTTTGCCCATTGATTTTGCCAAATGTGAGGCTTGATTATAACTTGTTACGAGATAGACACTCTTTTCAAATGAATGTGAATGATTTTGTTAGCTGATGAACAACTTTATTTTTAGTTTTACTTACCTTGAGCCTACTTTCTCTGAATTTATTTTGAACTTTAACTTTGTTCAGTAAATTTTGTTCTACAATGTGCAGTATCTACTTACTTTCATCAAAGATCCATGGTGTAATGAAGTCTTCCGTGAGGTCAGTGTTAGTTACTTGCTTACTGTAGATTCCTTTTCAACTTATTTCTTGTTTAAAACTGTTGGTGGATTTATTAGGATCATTCAAGAAGGAAATCAAAATTTATAGTTGATTCAGAAGAGGATGCTGATGATTCTACTGGTGAAGAATCCAATGTTGATGGAAATCATTATGTTGGATCTTATGATACTGTTTGTGCAATTTGTGATAATGGTGGTGAAATCCTTCCGTAAGTCCTTATCATTTTGTGCCTATGATATAAAGACATGCTCCCCTCATATTACTCTTCCTTATTATTTAGTAATTAGACCTTTGTTATCTTTTGCATTAGTATTTTTCTTTTAATGATGCAGTTGTGAAGGGAAATGCTTGAGGTCATTCCATGCAACCATAGATGCTGGTTTATATATGTGTGAATCTCTTGGCTACACTAGGGCTGAAGTTGATGCAAGCACTCTGTCTCACATATTCAGTGTCCTCTGTTTTTCATTAATTCGAATTGTCATGTTCTGATGAAAGGAAATCTTGCTTTTACAGGCCATACCAAAGTTCTTCTGTGCAAATTGTAAGTATAAGCTTCACCAGTGCTTTGTTTGTGGCAAATTGGGTTCGTCTGATGAATCTTCTAATGCAGAGGTATTTTTCAGATCTTATTTTCCCCTTATCTTGTGTCTTGCCTTTCCACTGTGGGAGAATTTCATATGAATAATATCCAAGGATGCATAATTTTTATTTTTCATTCTTCACAACTGTTTCTTTCTATTTCTTTTTAATTAGGTTGTATCCTTTAAGAAATTTATAATTTTCAGTACGATAATATTAAAATTCAAACTTCTTGTTTCTTCCCCTTTCGTATTGGACCCATAATGTAAAAATTTCTCAACAGATTTTTTATTCTCACCTTTCAATATATAATGAATAATACTAAATCTTAGTAGCAATAAGTATGTGTCTTGTGAAAATAGATATGGTGATGAAGGTATACAGGCAGATGAAGTTGTTGCAGTTGTTGGAAGAGTCATAGCTTTTAGGACTTAGTCAGATGATTTTCTTATGAATCTGCAAGAATTAGAATCCTTGTATATCTCCATTCCTGCATTTTGATACATTTCTTTCATTTATCACGTGGCTCTGACATGTTCATGTTTCATTTTGGTTCTATTTTTCCTTTGGTATCTAGAGTCTAAATATCTATAAATTTTTGTGCTCTTGAAATTTAACTTGCTTTTTTTTTTTTGGGTATACGACTAGTTATTTGCTTTATAGGTTCATAACATGTAAAGGCAAAGTACTTTGTTGTTTGATTGTAGGTATTCCGATGCATTGTTTCAACTTGTGGCCGTTATTACCATCCAGAATGTGTTGCAGAGTTACTGTCCTTCGGTGTTGATTCTGAAACAGAAGAAATAAGAAAGAATATTGCTTCTGGGAAATCATTCATGTGTCCTCTTCATAAATGTTCCTTGTGTAGGAAGGTTGAAGGCAAGAATGTTCATGACTTGCAGTTTGCAATGTGCAGACGTTGCCCAAAGGCCTACCACAGGAAGTGCTTACCCAGGTAGGTCTCCCAGTCTCCCACTCTCCATCCCCTCTTTGTTGGCCATTGAAAAAGTTCTTTTTGATTGGAGGTAAACATGTAAATATTAATCTGATAAAAAAAAATGTGAATATTATTACGTGCTACTTTCTGATAAGAAATCTAAAGATTGAATGTAGCATGCCTTTGTGTTTGCCATAATCTCTCTATGTGCATCTGCTTTCTTAAAGCAGGGAGATTACCTTTACGGGTATTGACCAAAGAGCTTGGGAGGGTCTATTGGATGGTCGAATTTTGATGTACTGCATGTAAGTTCTTGTGATAGTAGTGTTGTAAAAACTGAACTGTGAATGCTTGCTTGGGTTTTATTTGTCTCACAACTTATGCTATATACTTTTCTACTCATTCAGGGATCATCATATAGTTAGGGAACTTGGGACTCCTATTAGAAATCATCTAGTATTTCCTGATGAGGAAAGAATAAAGAATGAAGGCTCTTACAACTTACTATTAAGCAAAGAGAAGGCTGCTACTTCATCGAGGCAAGAAGATATTACTGCTAGAAAAACAATCATAAGTATAAACTTGCCAGAACTGGTAACAGAGACAGGCGGTAGCATTCGAAATGGAGGTTCTGCAGAGATTATTGACAAGTGTTTCAGACAAGATATAAGTTTCTCATCAAGATCAATTAGGTTTGATGCAGCTAGGAAATATTTGAACGATGAAAAGAGGTTTATCCCTGGTAATTCCTTTCAACCAGCTGAAAACAAGTCGCCCATGAAAAATGGTAACCTAACTTGTAGTCCAAGATTACATCCAGATAGGTCTCCACAGCAGAAATTGTCTGGTGGAAGAATTGATAAGATCATCCTGGAAAAAACTGTTGTGAAAAAAGCCAAAACTTCACATCAGCTTGCCAACACTGATATGAGAAAACGGTATTCTGTTTGAAAGTTATATTTTTATGCTTTATCTGATAAATTTACAAATGGTTCTTGCTTTTCTACCTCAGCTGCTTCCACTGGGGCACAACTGTTTTAGGTCATGTTTTATTGCTTGCAGAATTTTGTCTTTGATAGAAAGATCTACAGCTGCATTTAAAGAGGAAGAGTTCAAAAAGAGCCAGCTACTCTTGGTTACGAATTCATGTTTCTCAGAAACTGCATTAGATAAAAATCTTACTGAAGGAAAAGTAGAGGGTTCAATTAAGGTATATCTTAATTTTAGCATCTTCCAGCTGAGATCATACAGAATATGAGAATTTATGCTGAACTAAATGGGGCATAATTCTTTTAGATAAAGAGTGTCTGATTTTCTCGCAGGCTATTCAAACTGCCTTACAAATGTTAGAAGGTGGAGGTGGAGGCTGTATTGAGGATGCTAAAGCTATTTGTGAACCGGGGGTCCTCAATCAACTTTTTATTTGGCAGGTTGAAGCAACATATCTCAAATTACCCTTCTTCTTTTTTAGGTAGAAAGTAAAACTTACACGGCTTAATTTGCTTCAACATGTCAACTTTTATGCTTGTTCATTGGAATTTTATTTATGCTGCCTACTTATTTCCTTCAATTAAGCATGGAAAGTTCTTTCATTTTAAATTTATTATCATACAGGCAGGACTTATTTTTTCTGTGTTGGGCAATAATTTTGACAATACAGAACTTATCTGGGTCATATCATCCAATCCAATACAATTAAACCGACTGCTGTTTGCTTTAAAGCGTGAATAATGTCAGCTGTGTTAGTGTGGCAGTCATTGTTGATAACCAATACTGTAACAACACTGTTGATGTGATGGGGAACATAGTTGGATTTGTTTCATGTTCTAGTGATTTTATGTCCTACTAATTATTTTTATTTTAAAAGTTAGTTTTTTTTTAAATTCATTTTGAATTAAGCTTTATCTTATCTTGTCTAGGTTTTGCTCAGTTCAAATCATTATTATCTTAATATTTGTACTTAAGGCTCTATAATCTGCTCTAGGATTATTTTGATTTTGGACCTTTAATTGAGTTGGGATTATTTTCATCAGAGCCTCCCCCAATTTCTCTACTTCTTCCCCCACCTTCCCCTTGTCCTACATCATGACATGTGTCTACGACATACATAGGCATGTTAAGAAACTGGGCTTAGACATATATTCGATATACATACAACTTGGATATGGATTCCTCCAAGAAAGGGGTTAAGGTAAAAAAGTAAAAGGCAGATCGAGTTAGTCTATAAACCCAACTTTGACAAGATAATAAAAACTTCTTTCTCTAACACTAGAAAAGTAATAAAAATTATGTTATAATGTTTTTCTTGTACATGCATAATTTAGTACATGTTTTTATTCAGAAGTTATTAGGAAAAGAATAGTGCAAGGTACTAAAAATATAGGAAATGTTGCTAGAGTCTTTCTTTAGAAACAAATCTGGTTAGGAAGGCTGATTACCTAATAGGAGATTAATTGGGTCTTTACTAACTTCTTAAAACGAAAACTTGATTGAAAGACAAGTAAAACCAGCATATAAATCAGTTAGAATTTGATAGAACCCGTTATTTTCCTAAGACTTATATGAGGAAGACAAAGAAGGTGAATGACTCAAGTGGAAACACTTCGACTAGTCCAGATGTTTATCCTTCAGATCCTAGTCATAAGGAATAGTGACTTATGATCTTGTGTTATGATTAGTATCTTTTTGGGCGGTATGGGCTGAGGGGAAGCCATGCTGTAACTACTAGAAGTCTTTTGCTGGTATGGGGGGAGAGATGTCTTTAGTGAGGGATTTATGAGGAGAGACTGGCCTCTCGAATGCCAGAAGGAGTGAACCCTCTTTTGTGAGGTGTATAACTTGTAATGCTATTACTTTTGTGATCTTTCAAGAAAGATAGGTTTTTGGCCAGAATCAGAGGAAGTCTTGTAACTCTGATTTGGTTTCTCTCAAACTATTAATATCAAAAACCTCAGTATTTTTCCCTCATTTATTGCTGTTTCTGTCTTTTGGTTTCTGTTTGTTGTGATACTGGTTTGGGTCTCATTAGAATTCTAAAACTTAGTAACTGATGAGATAGTACAAAGAGTTTGAGATGACACTCAAGTCACAAGAATTTATCTTGTTTTTGTTTAACCACTAAGTCTATATCCAGTCCCTAAGATGATTTTGAGATTTATCCACTAATATTTCAGGATTTCAATATTCTCTTGCAGGCTGCAATCACTACAATGCTTAGACTTACCTGGAGTGTTAACCAAAGTTGTTCTCTATTCACACACAACACAAGAGCAGTCCAATCCCACTCAAAGATCCCTTATCTTGGAGTAAATTCCTAGAGTAAATATACAAATGAATCACTAAATGAGGAAGATGAGAACAATGAATGAGAATTCAGTGTAATTCATGTTTTTGACTTTTGAGAACTTGAACAATTTTTTCTAAACTTTCTATACTTGAATTAGGCTTATATATATAGATTTCATGAATTTTTAGTTGTTAGAAATTATCCCAACTTAGATTAATTAAGAATTAGCTATTGAATTGCTTCATTCAATGCTTTTGACAAGGTACTAGTCGACTGCTATGTGTAACTTTGTCATTTTTATGAAGTCTAGGGTCTCGACAATTGACTGCTATAGGTGTGCAAGTCAACTATTACCATTACAGTGAGTAATCTCATTTACTTATAGGGCAATAGCCAACTAGTGTCTTTGAGAAGTTGGTTGCTTTCATCATAAAACAAATTTTCCATGTGACTTGTCAGTTGTTCAAGTTATACAAGTTGATTGCTCATTAACCCAAGGGCAAGACTAGAAATCACAGTTGTTAGTTGACTGGAACAAGGACAACGATTGACTGTTATAATTTTAAAGATGAATTCTAAAAATCTTTAGTTGGACAATTGACTGCTAAAAAGATGCAAGTCAATTGCTAACACTCAAGTGTTGAACATAGCTTTTGGAATGAATCAACAGTTATGGACAAAGGAGTTGATTGCTCCCTTTTTAACGTGTAATATCACTTTGAAATTTCTAAAAAAACATTTGGAAGTTTGATTTAACATTGTTTTAAACTAAATCACTTTAGAGTATTTCTAGTTCCAACTTTTTGAGTTACATGTGCAATTACTTGATTAATAAGATAATTTTTATTGTATTTGCATTCTTTAGGAAGTTCAACATTTTCACTAGCTTCGTTTTTCTCATCATTTTCTTTTATTTTGATATTTTCTTCTTTAGATGAATTAGTTTAAGCTTGTCTTTTATCTAAGGTTATTCTTTGAATTGATATTGTCATATCATTTTCATAAATTTTCTTATCATCTTGAAGGCTTGGGTCTATCAAACATCACATGACTAGATTCTTCCAGTTATTAAAGTCCTTTTATTTTCTAAATGCTTTGCTTTTATTGGAATAACAAGCTAAATAGTCGTTACATCTAAGAGCTAAGTTTTGATACCAATTGTTTAGAAGATTGATCACCCAAGAGGGAAATAAATTAAATGTTTATTAAATTTTTAAAACAAAAACCAGATTGCAAAAAAAAAATAAAATTAACACATAAGTTAGTTTAAGAGAATTTTAAAGCAGTGCCACTAATAAAATAGTGGAAAGAGTATAAGAGAATCAAGATACAAGAAATTTTCCTGGTTTGATTTAATTACTAAGCATTTGTCAAGTTTCTAAGATTTCTCTAGATATTTTTCTATTAATCTTGTAGGATTTCATTAGACTCTTGTAGCCACTTCAATACTTAGGCTTACCTAGAGTCTTAACCAATATGGTCACTATTCTTACACAAGAGCATCCCCATTCCACTGAAAAAATCTTATCTTTGAATAATTTCTCTTAAAACAGCAACAACAAGCCTTATCCCATTAGGTGGGGTCAGCTACATAGATTGCACGACATCATTCTACTTTATATCAACCAAGATTTTATGAATATTGTTAACTAAGAGGTTTTATTCAACAACTTCCATAAGTTTTTTCTTTAGTCTTCCTCTAACCTTTATAGGGCTCAAGATTGTCTATTCCACACTTCTTACTGGTGTCTCCCACGACTTTCTCTATAAATATTAAAATTTTTTACTATTTTCCCCTCAATAGATGCCACACTTACTTTTTCTTGTATATGTTCATTTCAAATTTTATCTTTTTGTGTATGCCTGCACATCTATCTTAACATTCTCATATCTGCTACTCCAACATTATACTCCCATTGTCCATTTAAAGCCCAATTTTCATTACTATATAACATGATTATTTTTATAATAATTCGATAAAACTTTTCTTTAAATTTATTAGGTATCTTTCAATTACGAATAACTTATTAAGCATGGATATGCTATTTTTGGTGGCATATCTGTGTCGGATACGTATTGGACATGGATACTTGCTCCATGCAAGTGCGTCCATGTCAGACACTTTCTTTTTTTGGCAATACGACAAGACATAGCTTCAACAGGGCGTGGACACAGGACGTTGCATTTTGCTGAATTTTTTTGACTAAAGCCCTAATTTTCAAACCCCATTCGGTTGTCCAAACCCACTTGAGTTTTAAGACCCTCCATTCTCTCTCTAGTCTTGTTCATCGCTCTCTTCTCATTGAGTCCACAATTGTCGTGTTGTCATGCTCCTCTATAGGCCCATGGAATGAGCTGCCATGCCTTGTTTGCTCAACTTGTCATCTCATTCAATTTGCTTAGTTTCTCATCTTGTTGGTGTCCAAGTTCTCTCTTCTTTGCCTTCTGCTTAAACAATCTCATGCTTTGTTCTGTCTAAATCTCATGCTTACTCTCACTCAATTTAATTCTCTCGCACATTTTGTGGCTCAATCTCTTGTTTGTCACTTTGTTGACAAAAGCTAAAAGCATATTATATTATTATGTTGTTTGGCCATTTTTGTATTATTATGTTGCTCTCGTTTGAACCCATTATATTTGACTATTCTCTTATTTTTTTTATTTCTGCATATGCATAGAACACTAAAGAAACCATATATGGGGCTGTTAGTGTTACTTTGTTTGGCCATCACATTTGCTTGCTCAATCTGATTCTCATGCTCGGTTCTGTTTCTGTTTCATTTTAGTTCATTTGAATTTATTTTTTTTTCTTTTTTTTAATTAGATATGGCTACCGCTAGTAGTTTGGAGAGAGTGTTAATTTAACAGCCTATTATTCTTCTACAAATGAGCTACAAAAAGATGGAACTCCCTTGTAGTATTATGTCACTTTAGTGAATAAAAAAAGAGTAGGGGAAAATATACTAGGGGGTGAAAATAGATATTGTAAGTTTAATTATTGTAACAAAGAATATAATAGCTCTTACTCTAGAGTTAAGTGGCACTTGTGAAAAACTTTTGGCAAAGGAATTGCTATGTGCTCGAAGGTTGATGATTATTGCCTAGCTGAGATAGGAAAAAAAATTAGAAGAAGGGGGTTGATGA